TCCTTCCATCTTCTCTGCACACTCTCCTCACTTGTTAGCACCTAACCATTTTTGTCTTTAATCACCCTTATCTGTTGCTCATCCTTCCCATCTCTGTCTCGCTAATCTGTACAAGTCCTTCTCACCTTCCCTCGTGTCTAACCTGGCATACAACTCATCATATGCTTTCTGTTTGGCCATTGCCACCTCCCTCTTCACTCTACACTGCAATTTCTTGTAATCCTGTCTACTGTCTTCAGTCCTTTCTACGTCCCACTTCTTTTTAGCTAGCCTCTTCCTCTGAATGCAGTCCTGTTCTTCCACGTTCCACCACCATGTTTCCTTCTCTTCTTTCCTCCTTCCAGATGACACACCTAGCACCTTCCTACCTGTCTCCCTGATCACTTCTGCTGTAGTTTCCCAGTCATCTGGAAGTTCTTCCTGACCACCCAAAGCCTGTCACAACGTCTGTCTGAATTCTGTAGCGTGTACTTACATTGGATCTGAAGAGGACTACACAGCTGTAAATGGTGCCAAAAAAAGCTGCAGGAGGAAAGATAATGGAAAAACTTTAACATTTATTCTTATTTCTTATTCATGAATTAGTCATAGAAGCTTGAAATACTTCGCCTGAATAACTTTCTTGTTGTTTTACTAGCACAGTTAATTACAAATAACTTTACTTTTTTTCATATACTCTTGAAACACAGTCTGGGAGGTTGCTGTTAAAGCTCTTACCAACAAAACCTAGGATGAGCAGGAACTTGCCAGCATCTTTGTAGAAGCGGAAGTTGATTGGCTGAGGATACAAAATGGAGCTAACCAGGCTACCTTTGGCTGTGAAAAACCCTGAGGATGAGAAATAAGCCGAAGAACTTGACTTGGACAGCAAATGTAAGCTCTTGTGTTTACACTTGGTGTCTCTCTCTGAAGTGCAAATGTGTGTCCTTGATGTCTAACATTTAATGCATGCACAGATTTGGAAGAGTTTTAGGATCTTTATCATTTGCATTCACATTTACTTGCTAGTGGTCTTTTCCTCCCTGTCTTTTGTCAGTGCATTACCACTACCTGTTAATCCATGGATTTATGTGAAACCATTGCCAAGACCATTGTGTGTGAGAAAAATTAAACAGGGACTGACTCATAAGCACACTGTTCCATACCAGTGTTTGTGACAACAGCAACAGCAGCACTGCCTCTCTGCCCTCCCCCCTTGGCCTGAATGAGCTGAGTACCACAGAAGATGGTGTGTCTGCGCTCAGCCTCGGAGCTATACTTCCTCTCACCAGCCGGCAGTGGGGTTTTCAGCACTGGGACGCTTTCACCTTTACACAAGAATGATGAGAACAGGTTACCACACCTCACTAGAGGAGACAAAGATAGACTGTGGAAAGAGTTGGCAACATGTGTTTAACAGCTGCTATTTGGAAGTGTTTTTACCCCACCACTGAACAGGATTTAATAGCAGAAACTGGAGAGACACTATTTACACCATCACTCAAGAACAATGTGAAGCTAAGACATGCAAAGCTGGATATTAAGATGCAGTTTCTTTCCACTTTGGTCAAACCCAGCTGAGATACTATTCAGACATCTGGAACCAGGCATTTTGGTCACATATACTGTATTTTTAGATTATACTGCCTTCAGTGAAAGTACTTTAAAGAGCCTTCAAAATTAAATTGCAAGTAAAAAGTGAAAACCGCAAAATTATATATGCAGAACAGAAAAAAAAACTGCTTGCAGTTAAGGAGTTCTGAATGTTTCCTGGTCCCAGTGGTCATGGCATTTCATCAGCAATTTATCTTCTAGCTTATGAACATGACAAATTGCTCCAGTTACAATCTGCCTGGTGGGGGTAATAAAACTTGATCACCTGTGAGCATGCTCTCATTGACCAGACACTCCCCAGCCAGCAGGGCAGCATCACAAGGCAGCAGCAGGCCTTCCTGAGGGATGATCAGGCAGTCGCCGGGGACTAGCTCCAACGAGTTCACACACTCCTCCGCTGAGAAAACACATAACTAGGACTTAATCTGGATTTAAATTTGAATTGAACAGAATGACCAGCAGAAGAAATCTGACCTTACTTGGCCCAACAAAACTACTTCATTTATTTTCTAACTTTTACTCACATTATCAAAAAAGATGCACATCTCTTCTTTATTCATAATGAATGTTATTTGTAAAGCAAATTCTTCCTAAAATTACTTTTGCTGCAACTTAGCAAAACAAAATCGTATTTCCTAATTGTTTGCCCTCATGACCACAATGTCATCCCAGATTGTCTACATGCACTGTAATATCTCACAAAGGGTGTAGCAGTAAACCGAATTAACAATGATTTCTTTAAAACTCAGTTTCCTTCCTTCCATAGCTGCTGAATGTTTTGTAGAACACAAATAGCTCAGCTGGGTTTTGCCTGGAGGGAGAAACGATCACGCAGCTCAATGTCGCCCTCTGGAGTTTTTTTTGTGAACAAAGCTCCTGTTTACATTCAGTGTTCCAACATAATGCACAAAATGAACTATATTGCCTTCTTCACAAAACATTTACAAAGCCAAGTCTGTGAAAGTTTAAGACCCTGCATTGTTCAATTGCTTGCGGTCTTCTTCTTTCAAGACCTTGTTTTCTAACAGCTGTAATGACCTCAAATGAATCAGGCAATCACCTGTAACAGCAGCTTATACACTGTACTTTGAATGTCAAGAATTATCTTTGATATATTCTGATACGCAAAATGTAGCCTTCAACTAGGTGTACCTATTAAACTGGCAACATAATCTCAAAAGTGAATCTAAAAGCAGGGTGGAAAGGGGAACTGAAACACTCATGGACCAAAATGTACCTACTGTATCAAGAATACATGGCAACTACTACTGTCTACCACCTATGACAACACCTGGCTACAGTATCATTTACATCAATATCATCTCACTGTTCATGTATATCCCCCTCAAATTATGCTTATTTTTCATTACATGAAATAATGGATATGAATCTAAACCCACAAACCCCTCAACTCATTCAGAAACTAAGGAGATCTTAAAACGTTAATCATGCTGCTCTCACCCCATCTCATTTCATATTGGAAAAGAAGTACTTCTGCAAAGCCTCACCTCCCGAGCTTCTGCGTACTGTGACATTTGTAACCAGCCGCGCCATGTTGTGAAGAGTGACGCTTTGCTGTGGATGCAGGGCAAATAATTAAATTAACATTCATATCCAGAGTTAAACGTATCTATTCAGACTAAATGTGCCACTGCAGGCTCACCTTGTGGGTCTCATAAAGGGAGATACTGATAGAAATAACGGATATAATCAGTATACATATGGCGTAATAATAATAATGATCAATCATCCATAGGGTGATGCTGAAGATTTGGAATACATAGAAAGGGTTGAGGATCTAAACAAGCAGGTAAAGAGACACAAAGAAAGAGCAGGTTCAGTATTTTGATTCTGAATAAAAGAACACTTCAAACCAAACTATCATAATAAGAAATAGACAGGAGGAACTATAAAAGACTGCTTTCCATCTCACCTCCTCAAACAGCAGCTTCATGTAAGGCTTCACTGGCACATCTATAATGTTGGGCCCATAAATTTGTCTCCTGAAAGAATTTGGCATGAATTACTCAGCTGTGCCTTCTGAGATTAAAGAGTCTGTTTATTTCTCCACTATTGCATCCTTTCCTACCTCAGGCTCTGCTCCAGGGGACTCAGGCCCCTTTGGAAGTCATACAGGTCTTTACAGGTCCAGTCCTCATGGAGGACACTGCAGACAAAGAGACAAGTGTTAAACATTGTTGTGAAAAAAGTTAAGCCATTAAAAACAAAACTCCTGTTTTTTTTAATGTTGTGGTCAGAGGAATCTTTGAAATATTAAGTCCATAAAGTCAACATCTGCTGCATTTTTTTTTAGATTTCATTTTGCTTAAGAATGGTCAATGTGAAACCATCAAGTATTGGGGCAAATTAGCACTGCTGAGAAGCAATGTCAACCAGATAGACAGGATGAACATTTCTGCTCAGTGATATTCCGCTGGTTTCTGGTTTTCCTGTTTCAGTACCTAACATGACAGAAAGCTCCCTTCCTGTCCATCCAGATGTATCGCAGCCCCTCAAACAGGTAGTAGCGCAGCTGTGTTTTCTGTAACACAGAGGTCACTTTCACTCTGGGAAAGAAGATCACACAAAACATTATTCTGCTAAAAAACTCCAAACTGTTTGCTTCTTTCTTACCCCCTCCTTGTACAGCTCAACTGTATCTCTCCAGTCAGTGTTCTCCAGCTCTCCAAACAACTCCAAACTGAAAGAAAAAATCGAATTAAGCAACAGTGTTACAAGTTCTCACTGGTAACACTGTTGAAGGCCTAAAGGTGATGCTGTCAAGAGGACAGCTATATGGAGCTGACCTGCCCTCCTCCATCTCCTCTGTGAGGATCTCCACCACATGCTGCTGGCCAGAACTGTCCTGAAGGAAAAGATAAATATATCTGTGACTGCTGGAAACTAGGCATCGATCATCCAAGATAGCTAGCAAACCAGAGATATGGTTCCATTTTCCATTTGACCTGATGTACTAATCGAAATAGGTGTACTTAGTTTAACCACAGCAACTTTGGGAGAGGGTGTGGCTGTACATATGGCAAACGTGTAAAAAAGGATATTTTAATGCACAGCTCCACCCAGCACACAAGCAGCTTGGCTAATAAATACTGGTGGAGACAGATCAGGTACTCCAACCTGACTGATCGAGATTCTGAAGGATTTTAAACTGAATCCGCAAATTGCCAAAACTTTGCTCTGCTGAATGGAAAAAATTACAACTGTGTTTAATGTATAATCTCACAGCGTTTCTGACATCAGTGGGCACTAAAACTCATGAACTTCTTTCAAAGTTCATGCAGGGTTTTAAATGATGATAGCATTTATCCAACTGAACATTAAAACAGTATACAGACCTGACTGAGAAACACTTAAGTATAGATTTTATCATAGCCATCATGAGTAGTTAGGTATTTTATGATCAGGACAGTTTTAAAAAGGATAACGTGGGACAAAGTGACATGCAGTCAATTTCAGATCATGAAACGCCAAGTGAAATCCAGTTTCAGTAATAATGCCAGGTGTCAAGCAGGTTGCAAATCTGATAAAGTATTCACTTATTTTCTCACTCTTATTAGCAGAATATCTGCCAAAGCCAGAGGGCAGGGGCGGCAGCGGGCGAGGACACTTAGCCACGGGCGCCAGTGGAACACAATCAGGAGAAGACCCAAGGACAGCACGGCAGCCACACGACACAACCACACCCGCCAGCGCACCCATTTATACCCTTGAACATCCTGGTGAGACAAAGTAGTTAAACAGTCCAGTCAGATTCCAACACACGTTCCTTTCCATGAAGCTAGTTAACTTAGCAGCACCCATAATCAGTGGGGGAAGAAGTACTCAAATTGTTTACTTAAAAGTAATGATACCACAGTGGAAAAATACTGTTACAAGTCACGCATTCAACATGTTAAGTACAAAAGTATTGGCATTAAAATATAAAGTGCCAAAAGTAAGAGTACTTTTAGGCACATTTCAGATTAATATACATCATAATACTGGATTATAATTGACGCATTTTGGTCATTTTTATGTCGCAGATGGTAAAGGTGGAGTCCATTTCAACTACCTTACATACTTAGAATTTGTAGTTGGGCTGGGTATTTTGTGAATTCCCACCAGGTATTAATAAAGTCGGATACTGTATTTCGTACAGTTAATCTGATTCAGAAAAACTAGTAACTTATCAATATGATGTAGTAAAAAGTACAATATTTGTCTCTGAAATGTAGTGAAGTATGAAGCAGCAGAAAATGAAAATAAATACAGATACCTTAAAAAAAACTTTGGTTACTTTCTACTGTTGCCCACATTACATGTAAAAATAAGCAACAGCCAAAACCCAGACTGACAGCTGCTTGATTGCTTTCAACAGTGATTCATGAACCAAATGAGAGAATATTCTAGCCCACAAGGTCCTCTGTCTACAAATATAACAAGGATGCAGATCTCTAAGTTCTGCATCTACAAGTGACACGCGGCACTTATGTTTTCACCCACATCTAGCAAGCAAAGCACACCACCTGTCCATCTGTCAACAAAGATTAGATTGCATTTTCCTTGTCATTATCTAAAGCCGGTTCTACAATAACAATCATTTACCACACGTGTGGCGTTGTCAGTTTAGCAGAAACACTGCGGAGGTCCTTACCATGTGTGAGTCGGGACTGAGCAGGTGGTCTCGTGGTCTTGGTGAAGAGAGTCCACTGTGTGGCTCCAACACACTACCTACACAACAGGGTTAGGGTGGATTCAAGTTAACATTTCTCTGCTGCAGCGCAACACGCTCCCTCAAAGTCAATACTGCAAAGCCCCAGGCCAATCTACATTGCAAAGTGAAATAACCTGTAAAGCAGCAGATGGTTTACATTAATGTTACATATTCTCTATAAACTCAGTTCTGAGAGATAACATTGCTGGTTATGTGTAGGGACTGAACAGGAATAAGTGAGTAAGTGACAACCATTCAACTTTACTGCAGTACATTGAGTCTACAGATGTCTGTGTGGCTAAAACAGTGTTTATGGATGTTCAGTTCTGTTTTCATTTACTTGCAATGTGCTCCCTTGGAAAAAGTCCCTACTGTGGCTTTAGAGAGAAGGCAGTCGAAGTTTAGAAACCTATGTTTGATAATGGGAGACTCAAGTTACCACGAAAACACCGAGCTCCTTTTGATACGTTTAAAAGCCACAGACGATTTTAAATCTGCTATGAACTTAGTAAAGGCCATATATTACACAATAAGGCGATTTACACAATACTATAAAGCGGTTTTAACAAAGTGAATGCTTCCGCTTCCAGAGACCTGGGAAATAGCCACACAAAACCCAAATTCGTTTGTATTGAGACACATTACAGGGTGAAAACAGAGCTTACCGTTAACCGGAAACCGCAAGCATAAAAAAAACTTTCTTCCCGAAATATGGCAACAGAATTATAAAGGATAAGGCTCAGAGCCGCCGTGGGTAAAACCCGCCTTCCACTGCAGCTGTGCAGCTCCAGTACCGGATGCCTGACAACCTGTTCAACCGGCTTTTGCACGTCTGACGACGATTCAATGAAGACTCAGTTTGTACACAAAGAGGGCAAAGACTGCGCGTCTATGTTAATATGGTTTGTTCATAAATTTAGCAACAGCCTGACAGGAAAGGCAGACACCTGAACATAGTTAAGTGTCAAACGTAGGTAAACCTATCGTCATTAGTAGAACCATTCCTGTTAAAGTCAACACAGTCACTTAAAAAGTGTTAAATTTCCTGTAAAATTACAGGCTAGTAAACACAGTAAATGCATATTGTGTCATGAGAGTGATAACCTACCCGTATGCATGTGCTATTATGGATTAAATCTCAATCACCCTCAAGAAGAAACGAAACCCCCCATCTCATCTGTTCTGTCAGTGTGCACATGACTGTACAAGAGAATCACGTGAAAGTCAGAGTTATTTTGCTAAATCACACGCCAACTTTGTTAATCTTTAACAAAAATGGCTTAAGTATCAAGTTGTCAGGGTTTAGATTAGAGGAAGACCCAAAATGCAAACAAACTGATGTTGATGACTAGTAAGGTTTAATACAAGTAACATGAAACTAAAAGAGTTCAACTTGACAAAATGTGACAGCAACTAAAGAAAAAAAATAACTAAACAGCACCATCAGGAAGCAATACAATGGAACTGGAAAAACATTTAACAAGACTAATGAACCCAAGGGAACCAAATAGCCAAAGGTAGTTAGCAAAGTCCCAAAACAAGGAGGAGAACCCAAGAACTTGCAGGAGAGACAAACGAAACAGAAAACAATCACAACGAGGTAGGTAAAACAGGAGCAAAGCGGGGTGTGGTGCACAGGTGAACCAGCAACTTAACTGAGTGGAGTGAGGAGAATATATCAATAGATCAACAGTTGAAGGTTATGAGTGATAATCAATGGCTGAGGTGAGATGGCATGGAACAGGAAACACTTTCAAAATAAAAGAACAGAACAGGAAGTTGGCCCAAACACAAGTCTGCAATCAAAGTCCACTGGCTTTTCATAAAGGTGTAAATTCCAGGTAGTGTCAGGTGGCAAATTCATTCACATACCTCATCCACATAAATCCTGATAACACCTCAGGAATTCTGGCCATCAATATGTAACGTTTAAATTACCCTCGGCACGGACCCTAAGAAAGCCCAGGCTTTCAGTTTCATCTGAAACTTTCTGCAGTGTGAAAAGGGGGAAATGCATGCACTAAATGACTAGACACAAGACAGTCTTTCAGCTCAATGTTACTGCTTCGTATGAGTCACACTGCTCTCATCAATGTCATTTCCAGTAGTAGCAGGCAGCCATTTTCAATGAAAAGACTCAAATAACCTCTGTGTACACTACTTGCCCAGCACCACACAACACACTGACAAAGACAGCAAGAAGGCAAGAAGCTGGTGAACACTGTGGAGTATTTAAATCAATTACATGCAGTATAAAAATGATACAAAGACATTAGTATCTAAAGCTTCTGTGAAGGTATATACTCTGCAGGAAAATTACCTCAGACTTGCATTTTTTTTTTTTTTTTTACAAACAACCTATGTATTGAAGACATCAAGTTATGACAAAGATGTTTGCCATGTCTGTAATGCAGTGTTTTTGTTACTTGGATTACACCAGATGTGACAGTGTGACATAGTAATGGGAAGCAGAAGTTGGTGTCTCACAGACAGCTGGGAAACTTTAACCAAAACATCTGGCTGGCTGGCTGAACACCACTTGAGACATGAAGGTGATACTATGTATTTATATTACACAAGGACATGATATTCTGAGTTATGGTATCTTATTATTATCATTACTGCTGCCACCATAAGAAAGGAATTCCTCGGTATCTCGTTATAACGTTTCTCGTTATAACCAGATGCTTTTCACGTTAAAACACGATGTTTTTCTTGTCATAACGAGATACAGTATTTTTTCGTTATAGAGATAAACCAATGTTGTGGGGTTTTGTGTCAAACCAGTGATTTCTAAGGACCGGCTTCACCCCCTAAGCCCAATTACATAACTTATAACGAGATACTGGGCAAATGTTTTTCTCAGAGGGGTGACAATATGCTGCCATACTGAATGTTTATTTTTTTAATCAAAACTAGAGGCTTCTATTAGCCAACGCTTAGCAACACACATCTGTGTAGCTTGGCTATCTGCTCCATGGAGGGAACGGTTAATTAATAGCATCCAAACAAACTTACCCCGCCTGTCCACCTCTGGTCACAATGACAGCTTTACTTCACGCCATCCTAATTAAAATGGCACGTCGTTCTCTACCCAAACATTACAACTTCTATCAAAACACAAACCACTTAGCTTCATGTTATGACTTTCTACGGGAAAGCACAGTGGCCAAAATAGTCACAAGCGCGAACGGGTATAAAAAGACAGTAATGCTACCGTTACCTGCTCAGTTACTGTAAACATCTGATAGTTTTCTGTATATAACTATATAATACAGAATAGCATTTTGTTCTGATATAGTTGTAAGTATCCTTACAATAGTTTGATTAATAATTGTTATTGAATTTTATTTAAGTACAAGATCAATAGAGACAGGGGTCTACCATACCAGACAGGACCCCAGGTGCAGGCTGTGCAAAGTGCCCCTGAGACAATCCAGCATATAACAGCGGGGTGCAAGATGCTAGCAGGCAGGGCATACATGGAACGCCATAACCAAGTGGCTGGCATAGTGTACAGAAACATCTGTGCTGAGTACAGGCTAGAAGTCCCAAAGTCAAAATGGGATACACCTCCAAAGGTGGTTGAGAATGACCAAACTAAGATCCTGTAGGACTTCAAGATACAAACTGACAAACTGGTAATGACCAACCAACCGGACATAGTAGTGGTGGACAAACAGAAGAAGAAGACCGTATGTAACAATCCCAAGTTGATAGCAACATCAGGAAGAAACACGAAAAGCTCGAGAAATACCAAGGGCTGAAAGAAGAGCTAGAAAAGATGTGGAAGGTGAAGGCACAAGAGGTCCCCGTGGTAATAGGAACACTGGGGGCTGTGACCCCCAAACTGGGAGAGTGGCTCCAACAGATCCCAGGAACAACATCTGAGATCTCTGTCCAGAAGAGTGCAGTGCTAGGAACAGCTAAGATACTGCGCAGGGCCCTCAAGCTCCCAGGCCCCTGGTAGAGGACCCGAGCTTGAAGGAAGGAATACAAGACCACCCCAAAGTGGGGGGCGATTGGGGGACTTTATATATATGTACAACTGTCAGACCACAAACTGGCAGCTGCAGGGGAGCTAAAACAAGTGTTAAGCAGTAATATGACACTGGTAAAGTTCCTTTATAAAAACACATTTTCACAGAATTTCATCATAAAACCGCAGTTTTTCTATATGTAATATATTTGACATCACTCAAAGGCAGCTAATGCAAAAGCCTCTTTCAAAACTCATTGCTGTAAACAAGTCTATTGCATACACACAGCTGGTAGCTTATTAGGTACATCTGGCTAAAACTAATGCAGTCTGTTAACACAGCCCTGCAATAAATCCTCCATTTATTAAGGTGATAATATTTTGTTGTTGTTTAAACAGTTTTAGAAAGGTGTTGATTCAAAGTATCATCATTTGTGAAGACTGTTGTGCATTTGAATTGTATGGGGTTATGGGCCTACTGTGTTTTCCACCTCATTTATATCCGTGAGACTAGACTAAATAACAGAAACACCTCTGTAGCTATATAAAGCTGTATAGTTCACCAGAAGCACAAACTACAGATTTCAAACTGATGTGGTTTGAACAATACTGCTCTACATCTCTATTATTATGATATGCTCTGCCTTCATGTAATATGCACCAGCTTTACCAGAAAATATGTATTTATCGTTACTTTGTCACAACTATGCCTATTTCACCTCCACATAGTGCAGGGGTTTTCAGCTGGTTGTGATTCGGAGCCCCTACAGTCTGTCTAAGAAGCAGTCAGAAGTTCACTGTTGTGGGGTGTGAAGAATGTAAAATGTGGTTTATTTCTTGCGTGTGTGATTTCTAGGCATGGTGAATCCCACACACTCTGTTTATTCTTGGTAATACTGTAATGAATAGGGACAGTCTCATCTCATTCTCTGGCTACAACTTTGCCTTGCGCCTCTTTTTCAGGTGTGCCAATATGAAAAATCCATGCTCACAGACATATATAGTTGCAAATTATTTCAGAAACATTTTACTGGTTTTGCTGCAAGCACTGGAAATTCTTGGGGGAAAAAAAGAAAAAAACATTGAGTGCATGGTCAGGGACCACCTGCAATGCCTTCATTGACCACCAGTGGGCTGCAGACCACTGGTTGAAAACCCCCAGACATAGTGGACCAGAAAGTTAAAAGCAAAGCTGAAGAGGTTTACTGGGTGTGCCAGGGAGCAAAGAGGAATAGTGTCCCTGGAAGGTCATTCCTTGGCACACATGCACTTCCTGTCAGTATATGGGTGTGAGATGCTGAAAGACCTGAAATAACAAATGACTCTAGGAACATCTCTAAATATGTTTCCAATAGCATCAGTGGATGAATTTGCACAACAAGGATGGGATTCATCACAAAATAATATAATTTAATAAACAGATGTTTGCATTTCTATATCAAAATGTTTGATCACATGTTAGAAAATTGCCTTTATCAGAAAAATATGACTATGTCTGTTATAGGTGTGGTAGAGCCATTATGTACAGTACCTCCTGCTGATCACAGCTATATATAATGGACATGTCTGTGTAAAATGTATTAGAAGACTCAATGAGTACAAAGTAACTGTGTCTTCAGATGAGTTCAATCTAGTTTTATCTTAGTGTAGTAATAAGTTAAACCCTGATGATTTAAAGTAGGTCAGATGCTCAGCTCTGTCTTAAGATGTCATAGATTTGTTAGTTATTAATATCTGCTTCTTTTCCTCCCAGACACCACTAAACATGAAATAGAGCTGGGACACAAGAAAGACCTGCTGCAGGTTGGAGTCCAAAACCCATGCCCAGGTGGAGAGGCAGAACACAGGCCTGATTAGAGGACAGATGTGCCTGAGAGCTGCCGAACGCCCACGCACTGTCCTCAAATCTATAAGGTGAAGGTGAATGACTTTCCTCTTTCCTTAATCCTCAGAGTAACTGGCAGGTCATCTTCTAGTATATCTCTCTGCTGTAAGTAGCTGTTAAACAAAAATCCCAGAGGGCAGCAGTGATTATAGCTGCTCCAGTGGAAGCTGTTAGTGTGATAATTGTGTTTTGTTCCAGGCAGGACAGCAGAAGCAGTGTCTGGGGAGGGATTTGGGGCCTTCGTCTCTGACTGGGACAAACTCACAGCCACGGTAAATTTGTATCAGGTCTGTCATGGTTTGTCACACTTTCACCGCAGGAGGACTGCAGAGAATTATGGGAGCATGTTTGAAAATGTGTGTGCCCTCCCCCTCGTCATCCCAAACCCATACCCCACAAATTGCCATGCTAACCATGAGATACAGGATGTGTATTTAAATAGTGCATTTTATTGAGTTAGCTTTGGCTGGGAATAAATGCATTCCACATAGGGGTTATTTGAATATATAGTTGAATTTTTGACATGAAAATACATTTTCTAGCAAGAAATAGTTTGAATTGATTTGTTTGTTTGGCACATCCTGTTAATCCTACCTACTGAAGTGAATCTGAAAGGACTTTAGAACATAACATGGAAAATAGCAAACGCTTCATGAAATGAATGAACATTCTACAGTCATTTTATTTCACAGGCATCAAAATAAGAGGTGAGAAACATGAGCAGAAGACACACTGATGATAAAAGGTTCAAATGATGCAGCTTCTCTGTATATTATGATTAGATCATAAGAAATTCTTTTTAGAAGCACTCCGACATCATTTCTGTGACTAGCTGTTTACTGTGATTTTTAGACAGCCAAGTGTTTGAGAAGCAGATCACAGAACACTTTAGAAGGCGTGGTGTCAGTGTGAGTCAGTGTGAGACATCATTAACATTCAACATTCATGTACACTTTCTGTGAAATGCTAAATGCTCTCTTGGTGCTATGGCTCACACAGCCAGCTCTGAAGGAACTTGCGAGGGACGCTGCCATCTTCACTCGAAGCATCTAGCGGAAGAGAGGCCAGTACAGGCACATCCTGATGAGTGAAACTGGAAAAACCACTCTTGGTCAAGGTATGACCGGGTCAAACACCTATTGATTTCTTCTCTTTTAATTTTTTTCTTGTATGTTTTAGCTCTAATTGATAGTTGAAGGTGACAACAACCACTATATAATGTAAATAAAAACGATGTTGCTAACACCCAAGGTCTTGTAGGACATTTTAAGCAAAGATCTCTACCCATGTCATGTAATTCATCATATTTTTCTGGTTGGTTTGGAATCCAAAAATATTATGTTCTTACCACAAATAGTGATTGCAGGTACCACTGCCATCTCATTATGTTTCATAAAAATACTGACAATATTTTTCATACATTTTCTGGATATTTATTTCATGCATTCCTTATTATGTCGGTTCAGCTGGACAGTTGTATATTTTCCATATATTTAGCTTGTCACTTGATATTTTTAAGATGTTTGTGCATTTCACCTTTTCTTTTTGTCTCTCTGTTCTTTTCTGATCTAATCTCTTTTCATTACCTTTCAGAAACTGCCTCTCCATCCAAGGATAGACTATGCCAACATGACAGGTGGACACGTGGCACCCTCGGGGTTTGATGGCATCACTGCTATGCACAAAGTGTTTGACTGGGCTGGCACCCACAGGCAGGGGTAGGGCACTTTAATTTGTTCCATTAACATTCAGCACTATAATGTGTATCAGCTGTTGAACAAGCTATTCTCATTGATAACTCTCTGATTCTCTGCTGTTTGCAGATGAAGCTGATGCATTCCTGTGTACGTGAGCCACAGTGAGTTCAGCTTTACTGCTGTATACGTGGTGAAAATGCCTTGTGTTGTCATCATATATTCATGATTCATGACTTTTGAATCACAGGAGAACATCAGTGAGGACTTCAGAGCCACCCTCAAATCATTCCTCTACTGCACTGGAGAGCAAAGCAACAAGTTGGTGTCTTAATGAATTCACTGTGCATGACTGGACATGGATAGGTCATCGCCATGACTGAAAGGTCACTGATCAGGTCTAAATAATCAGTTTTTTCTCTCCTTGGGTTCATGCTGGTGGTTTTGAGGAAACCAGCCAGAACAGGTCAACTTGGCCATTAATGACTGTACTGATAAGAGAGTAAACAGCATTAACAGGACTGGAGGAGAGGGAAAGATGAGTGCACCTGTTTTTTGACAAATTTGTGCAGGGTCCTGACAATTCTGGGAAACCTAATAAAATCCTACTGATACTGCTGCTATGTAAAGTAAAGCACTGGTCCCTAGAGGTCACCTTGCTACCTCAAGTCGCATAATGGTGTGTTTAACGTGTTCAGTCCTGAAATCAAACTCATGCCTGAGCCTTTACTTGCTGCTGTAATAAAACAGTCTTTCAGTCCTAATGAAGCTGTGCAGAAGCAGAGGTAATTTGAAACAAGTAAATGTATGAATGATCAATGGTAGGCACAGTGCTCACTTACAGTACAAACCTCTTGTGCTTTAACTCAACTGGAGATTGGCTCAGTTTTGGCCAGAAGTGTGAGCTGAGGGCACATCCAGTCATGCAATCTCCAAAAGTGGCAGGTAAGTAGAAAAGCCTGTTGACACAAGATATGAATTTGCTGAAAAACAAGTCCAAAGCCAACTTTTTATTGAATTTGTTCCTCTGGAAGATTGCTGCATACCCCCAGAAAGATGGAGTTTTAACTGAAGCGATAACTGATTCGAGGGTAGACAATACCATCAAGCAGTATGCACAAACACTGGACTGGCTGCTGGTGAAAGCAGGTGTGGGAAGTTCTTGATATTTGCTCTGATTACTGCTGATCTGAGTGGCTGTGTGACCAGAACGTGAACATTTTAAATGTCACTGGAACATGTCATAACTGGGTGGTAGTGGAGGGCTTTTCTCAGCTGCATCAGGACAGTATTGTCATTGGTAGTCATTACAGAAGTGGTGTTAGTCAGTGCTTATGAAATGTCTATTTGAATTACAATAAACAGCAGTGAAGTTGCCAGCACGACCTCTCTGTATAATCTGTCTGCTGTTGGGGCTCTGAAATAACCTCTTGCTATGAGAATGTGTTCTCATCTTTGCTTGTATTATTGAAATGACACAAACAAACATCAGAGGTCACTGTTGTGCTTCAATGGCACTTTTAATAAAACAGACATTTCATCCTCACAACAGCAATGTCTGGACAGAGAAGGCGAGGGGGGGCCGGGTGAGGGTTCCCTCTGCTGATAGGCTGGTTGTTCCTGATAAGTGAGAGGGAATTGGTTAAAGAAAATTGAACTGTGCTGCTGAACACAGTGTGGGGAAGATGGAGAGGCATGTCGTGTGTGTGTGTTTGTGTGTGTGTGTGTGTGTGTATTGTACAGACTCTTCTTGGCTGGCATTTACCGTATTTCTCCTCTTGTGACTCGTAAAGAATGATAATATAGCAAAGAGAACCCCGACCGCAACCATACACACTCCCCTCCCCCTCACATATTTACAGGAAAAATTAATACATTCAGGTAATTCACTAAGTAACAAAGCTAATTAATCTGTGTTTTTAGCAGAAATCACATGGTTTCACATCCAGTTTTCAGACAGACTTCTGTTCCATTCCTATAATCTTTACCCACACAGTCCATCATTAGGTTTCCTATTAATAAACACAAAAATCCCCTCACGCACCCCATTTTAAAGACTGTTAAATCCCACCTGCCCATATTTAACTATTTACAGAAGCAGCAATCTAACATCACACAAAAACCCACCCACCCACTGGTCTCATTCACCCCTCCCCACGCCAACAAAGTACCACTCCCACCCAAAAGACAAAACAAACATCCATTTTTTTTCCTCCGCTTATCCGGGACCGGGTCGCGGGGGCAGCAGTCTAAGCGACCCGCGACCCAAAACAAACAAAAACAAAACAAAACATGACACCCATCTTTCCACCCCATTCCATACACTGCCTACATCTTACCCTGTTCTAAAAGAGCATGCCAAGTTTAACAATGAACACAGAAAATGTCTCTATACAGAAAAAACACCCTTAAAAATGTTTTTTCCTTCTTTCTCCCACAGTGGTTGACATGGACATAAGACAGGATTTCAGTGGCAACAAATAATCATCATTTTGGGGGTTTCTTTTAATGCTGACAGGGGGCAGGTTTAGTCATAAGAAAGCTCTGTCATGGGTTTTCAGAGAGCCATCTTAGGAGGGCAGTTTTCTCTGAGGCAACAGTTGGCCATGGGCCAGTTGGGGGTAGGGTGGGGGGTGTTTTAGGGGAGCATTTCTAGGTTTATTTTGTTGTTGTGTAGTTTTTTTTGTTTTTTTTACAGTCAGAGGTGGCGGGGACTAGGGTGGCCATTGTGGTAGAGCTTCTGCTTGATGTGGACCATGTTGCCGCTGGAGTCTTCAAGTTGTCGGAGCTGGGCTCGGCGACGGAGGTCTCGAAGGTTGCAGAACTGCGGCAGGCATGACCAGGACGGGGTATCTGGAAAAGGAAGATGAGTGGTGTTACAGGTGTCACTCAAAATGCGGTTCTGAATAATTTGTGCTAATGCAAAATCTGGATCAGATCCAGGGCCAGATCGCTGCTGTGTGCCCACCCTTCTTGTTCCCAAACTTGTTTTGGTTAGAAGTTTATTTAACAATCTAAAATAATATCAATAATATCAGTAAAAATGCAAGAACTGCCTTGATAACCAAATAATGAAAAGAAGAAATACATATACTACATGCACAATATCTGTGAGCTTAGGGCAGAGACAAACCAAGCCGACGTCAAAGAACTAGCAGCAATGTAGGCTGACTGTTGCGTCTCCACACTTTTGATTTGATTTGATTTATTCTTTCAAACATGTAACAACAGTCAATATGTCAACACACATAATTCCACACATATCCACAAATATATTATCAATTTGCTTATACCTAGTACATGCTTGAACGGAGTAGGAAGAAGTTAGACTTATCCAGTCCTACCCCCTAACATCATCTTATCGTCATTGTTTTGCAAGCAGTATTACTACATAGATAATTTTGTTCTACACCACGCTAGTGATATACTAAAAACACCAAACTCACAATGTTTCACCTGATTAATCATTAAGCCCGTTCTTGCCCATATCTTGATTGACACATACCTTTGTATTTGTGTTTAAACTCATCAATTCTCTTACTGTTTTTTATGTCTACACTTAAATTATTCCATAGTTTTACCCCACTTATGGAAATACAAAATCTTTTTTTGGTTGTACGTATAGCATGAATTTTATAATTTAACTGACCCCTTAAATTGTATCCCCCTTCACACTTTGCCTTTATCTGGGCCAGTCGTGTCAAAAAAGTGGTACTTGAACACACCACACACACACACTACTGCCAGCGGCCGCCTGGCACATACCTTCTAATGTCTTATAATGTTGTAAAAGCAAGCACAAAAGCTCACAGAGTGAACACCTTTAAACAAAGTTGTTAGTTGTGTAGATTATAAGATGTATGAATTATTAAGCATGTTTTATTTTATCAATCAAATATGGAATATGAGCTGATTGTTTACTTTGACTGCCTCACAAGGCACATTTCATAAAAAGATGGATTATAAAGGCATAAGCACTTGACCAGCCCTGAACAGTACAGTATGTACTGAAGTAAATCTAAACACTTTTCAAGCACATTTCTGGCCTTTTGCTGTTATTTGACAGATGACAGTACTGACAGACTGGAAACAGAGAGAAACTAAGGTAGCTGACATGCAACAAAGGTCCACAGTCAGAATTAGACTGGGAATATTACAATTACAAATGTGTCTGAGCTTTTCAAACACCTCCAAAAAAGGAACATCTGCCAATGGCAAACTGTCAACAACCCTAAAAAATGAAACGCTTCTGCATCAGCAATGCAACTGAAAGCACAATCCCAGAGTATCAGAATCATAACATATAACAATGTTGAATATTCCATTCTCCACTCACTACTATACATGAAAATTTGTAATCCCAGCATGTGCGGTTTATTGTTAACTAACACCGTCTCCCTTGTGTAGTTGAGCAAACACAACTGAATGCAAGTCACAGAGATTGAGACACTACATTGTAAAATCCTTCTTAGCCTGGTTTTCTGGCCCTAAATCCAGTTAGAGGCACAAAGGACACAACAAAAACCAGCAACACAGATGAATGATCTCTGTGCTGTGAACTGAACTTTTTGATGCTATTATGAATGAGTCCAAGCGCCTCTCTGTCACTCCATTTCTCCTGTATTGGTATGAATTCAGAGCTGGGGTGATGCTGGCCTGTCAAGTTTTCCTATCCTTAATCTGATGCATTTTATTCTTGGTCATGCTCAGTTTAAGTGAAGAGATGACTAGCCCCATGGCGACCTAAATACTGCTCTGATACTCTGACAAGAATGAGCAAAATGGTGCAATTTTAAAGAAAACCCAAAATGGGTAAACTTAAAAAAAAAAGACAGGTCACGTCAATAAAAGGATATCTTCCATATACAGCATACAATATTTTCACATATGAACAAGTTAAGCTAATTAGATTAATTAAGGTTTTTGTACTGTGTCGTGTACTGCATAAAAGTGAGTTATGGGCTCCACAAAAACTGGAAAAGCTGATGTTTAATATGTCTTGCAGCCAACGTCATCATAGCTGTAACAACTTTTAATTCTGAGAAGTAGAGATGAGCTTTTTACAGTGAGGGGAGAGTGATGGAGACAACATAAAAGACTGGAACAGTGAAATATTTTAGAAGGTCTGTAAATGGCACTAATCTCTTCACCGTGATGTTGCTCTGGATTCTTCACATTTGTGTTTGGGTAGGCTGTTGCACATGTGGCTGGGCATTAGTTCTTTACAGACAAAAGGATTTCCCACATGACCTAAAGGTTAAACATTTTTATAGAGTGCCAGTTTTATTTGTCATTGTCCAAGTAGCAGCCACCATGTTGTACTATACAGAATCCACAGGCTTTACAATCGAAAGGCCGGCCTGCCGTGAAATCAGTGATTGTCTGGAATAAAGTGGGGTTTTCTTGAATGTTTGGCATATAATGTGAAGAGGGGAATGGCAGAGCAGACGTTTGTGCTTGTCAGGTTATAAACTGGAACCGGCGAGGCAGAGCGAGGTCCGTGGAGACAGCAGAGAGAGGAGGGGAGAGCCCCAGACAGCAAACCCTGTAGCAAATGGCCCTGCTAGAGGATGAGCGAGTGAAGGGGGTGGTGGTGGTGGTGGTGGAGGAGTTGTGGAGGAGGTGGTGAGGTGATGGGTGGAGGGGAAGTGAGGAGGTAGAGAGAGATGGAGAGAGTTATTTATAGCTGGGAATGGGTATGCTCTCCACAAGGACTACTCTGAAGGGTATCCAAAGGAAAAGGGGCAACGAGGTTTCTCTCATTTGAATAACAGAATGGAGATGGAGTCAGGAGAAAGGATAAGGCAAGGCAAAAAATGGGAGGTGATGACACAGCTGTTGTGTTCTTTTAGAGAAAGGGAAGGGGGGGGGTTAATGCTGAACGCTAAGTTATCATTTTTGCCATTGTTAAGATTGTTTTTGTTTCTGTCTTTGCAAAAGGCCCACAAGTAGCTGCATTAGGAAGCACTGTGAGGGAAATAGCCATGAGTAGATTCAGTATGTGAAGACGGAGAGGAGAGGGAGGAGCCACAGATGGAATAAAAGGGGAAAAAAGCAATGGGAATTAATGTCAGGATCTCAGTGCACTGTCTGTGTGTGCGTGTTTCTCACTTGCCATTCCAGCTGCTCTCTCTCATTCTATTTATAGCTCTGGAGGAGAAAGTGTGTGTATGTGTGTGTAACCAGGGGGTGGGGATGTGACAGCATCGCCATCCTGCAGCCTCAACACACACACACACACACACAGGTCTATTATTATTTTCAGTGCAGGGATAGATAAAATGGTTTTGTGAAAATGTATATTATATATCTACATCTTGAAAAATGCTACATCTTAAGTTTTACATTTAAACTGACACATCCTATACATACATACACACACACACACACACACACACACACACTCATGCAGACAAGGGGAATTCCCTCCTAGTACAAAAGAACAAACCCCTCATTCTTTAAGTGCTGCTAATGAATATGAATATTATCTTCTTTCTGGGTGTTTATGATGATGTATATTACACTGTTCCACTTATGCACTGAAGAAAGCATACTCACACGCTGCTCCAAAACCTTCTCTCTGCAACAATCAAAGCTTGTGCAATCCATGTACAGTCTTATGCAAAAGTTTAGGCACCCCTTGATAAATAACAGATTTTGGTGATTTTTTATTTGAACAGATGTTAACACAGCTTCTCTTGGAAATGGAAAAAATGCACAATATTTTCTGCAAACAGTGATGCATAGTTACTTCTTATGCCATAAATTGAACAAAAATAAAAAATAAAAACACATTTACCAATGACAGCTGTTGCTGTGCATCAGATCTAACGAGCTGATTAAGGTCTGATACCTTGTGAGAGACTTTGAGACTCTGGAACTCTTAGGGTGCCCAAACTTTTGCACCATGCCATAATCATGTTTTTATTTTTTATTTTTGTTCAATTTATGGCATAAGAAGTAACTATGCATCACTGTTTGCAGAAAATATTGTGCATTTTTTCCATTTCCAAGAGAAACTGTGTTAACATCTGTTCAAATAAAAAATCACCAAAATCTGTTATTTATCAAGGGGTGCCTAAACTTTTGCATAAGACTGTACCTTGTTTATCATGACATTATCTACAAAAACTGATAAATCTGAAGACATATTTTCTACCCTAAAATCCCACAGTAGTGCACTTTCTAATAACCATCATTCTTCATTCCCACCTGAGGAGCTTTTCCATAGTGGTCCAAGTATCCAGGTTACATATCACCTACTTCAGCTTTATTGTTATAATTCAAGCTCCAGGTCACCTCCACAATACAGGCTTGCGCTAACACTGAGCCCCAAACAGTGGAGAGCAGACAGAATATTCAACATGAGTTCCTACAGTCTTTGTTTATATGCAGTAAATAGAGCTAAATGTGGCTAATATGTAATAAAAGAAATCAAAACCTTCATCAGTGTTTGCCCCTAGATTTTACTCATGGCAGGGTTGAAAAGCTTGTGAAGCCGGGATGATCCCGATAACAAAGAAAACACTGTAACCTAGGATGCTAATACCCAGCTCATCAGCGAGCATCTTGCCCGTGCCTCTGTGTTGCCGTGGTTGGTGTCTCTTCCGCAGAGCGCCAGGCTGCTGCATGAGAGATTTCATGCTGTTATGTCGTAATTTCACACGTGTGTGTGTAATAGCTGCTTAGCTTTAGGTCACTTTGCTTGTGTTTGTGTTTGCAAAGCCACACAAGCCAAGTAATGCTGGTGAACTACACACCACAGGTTCTGTCTCATTAAATCTGCTGCATTTCTTTTCTTGTACTAAAGCAAAATGCGTCCTTCGTCTGTTGGGATGAGATGGTAAGAGAAGTGACAAAGATATTTCAGAGACTGAGCGCTGACAGGAGGCAGGAAATTAAAGATGTGGTCTGTAACTTTTATAAAAATCACTTTTTGTCATATTTGCTGGCAGTAGTACACAAGATAGATATACTATGAAAACATCAGGGTCCTCTAGCTCCTCCTAGTGCCTGCAAATCCATTTGAAAAAAATCGTATGTTAGACACAAAAGGAATTTGTCTCTGGTACAGAACCAAGGCAGGCAGGCGCCAACTCACACATACACAATGATGGCAGCACTGTCTGTGCAAGATGCTGATCTGGCCATCATGACCAACTTGGGGTTCAGTGCTTTGCCTAAGGACACTTAGACATGTAAGCTGGGGACAACAGGAATGGAAACACCGACCTTCTATTTGGGGGACGACCGCTCTACCTCCTGAGCCACAGCCACCCCCTTAGCTGTGTACTGTGTTTTTATAGTGACCAAGCAGATTATTTGGCTGCAGAATCAACACACAAAAACATATAATGACTGCACATCTAGTTTATACTGAAGCAGAGGAAACTGCTAAACATGGATCTTTTATTTGGCACAGCCACAGAGTAACGATGATCTAAAAATGTACAACAAACTGTAATGTGTTTGTCATTCATAAAGTAGCTGAAAAAACTGTATATCTTTTTATTTATTCAGTGTGTCATCGTTGTACATTGATGAGAACAGCTTCAGCTCCCCAGTCTATGAAATGGAAGCAGAGGTTGTATGCAGTGAGGGAGGGTTGGATTTACTGATCTTGGAGCTACTTGAAAGGGGGTGATGTTTCCACTACTCAGTGGGACTTAAGGACAGGTTTATAGGGCAAGGCTGGAGAAGTCTGCATTATGCCAGTTAAAATATGGGGTTTCCCAATTGCCAACTTTGTTTAGAGTGTTACATATCTCATTTCATCAATACATACACCATTATTTACCTATCTATCTAGGAGAAATTCACATTAATTAATGCTGTTAGTGTTCATTGTGCTGTTCAATTGTGACAGAACACCGGCAGCAGGAGGTGTGCGCATTCATGAACTATCCTCTCCTTTTTAGAAAGAGGCTCATAGGTTTTATTGTTCTGAAATAATTACAGACTATTCAGAATTATGATGGGTGCAAAGCTAATCTAGAGGTACCCAAGATTAAACATTAAATGGCTGGAAATGAGCAAAATAAGCATGTCATGGGCACTTTAAGGAGCAACTATCACACTCTGTTGGATTTAAACACATGGTATGTGGGAATGTAGTGTTCACTACAGCACGACAGATGGTGGGAGTGAAGTCTTTTCTCAATCTCTGCTGCAGTCTCAGTACCTACTGTCCATGTATTCATACTGTATACAGTATGCATTGTATTTATTATCACACAAAAGTGGTGTTTGCTTCATACAAATTACAGTTTGGCCAGATTTTAGATTTTAGCTACCAATGCACATTAATTCATGTTACCTTACACCCACACAGAATTTATATTGGCCTTGCTGATAATATAGTCTTTGATTCAGAGGGGCCATTATTCTTGTAGGTTTCTGTAGACTGACAGTTTTGGTAGAACAGTGATGGTGGCAGGACAATTGAGTGGCCCCGCGTCTCAGTTGTGAATGGCTACCAAACCTGCTGGGCCAGCCACTGTATAAACTGAGGAAAAACAATGCAGATATTATATCTGCTCTTTGCTTGGCTGAGGAAAGGATTTAGGGATGTTCTGTAGTAAGGTAAGAGTGAGGGGCTTTCTTATATGATATGATAGAACAAGACTGGAGAATAGTGTACAAAATCAGTAGCCTATCAGTATGTGCATTTTAGGTTAGATAAAAATGGTGTTACTCATTGTGGAACCCTGAATATTGATGAATGCATGGCCTGATAGTCTCTCTTTGGGGCCATAGAATGGGTAAACATCATTTAAGAAGAATACTGAGCTTCCATGGGAATGCGCATCCAGTCTTTGGCACATTTAATTGTGTATTATCAATCTCTCCTGTCATATTACTGTGTGGACACTCCCATTCACATTATGGTATACCGGTTTCACGGTATACCATGATATGAAAAATCGATGGTTATCATACCATGCGCATTTGCATATTACTAGCATTGAAGATAAAATGCAATGTGTGCACATCTCCTTTCTTCCCCAGCTGCCTGTCAGACTCTAGACTGAACACCACATGTAAATATGCAGCTGAGAAAATGGCAGAGAAAAACGAGGCCGATAACATCAATCTCCATCCCCCGAAAAAGAAATTAAAATCAGCAGTGTGAGACTACTTTGGAAATCCCCAAAACAAACACCAGATCAAAAAAATGCATCCTGTTTATAAAATCCCAAACAAAAAACACGAGCATTTAAATATTGGTCACAAAACGAACTATCAAAATAACCTTCCACATTGTGGAAAGTGGAAACAGACATTTCTGGGACATACAGCTTTCACTGTTATGCAACTGAGACACTGTTTTAAAGCCCAGTAATAGCCTGCATTATTCCATGTCTCTCTCATAGTACATACTAGATGTCTAAACATTTCTTCCATTTGAAAGACTTAAAGATCCTGTTCTTTCTCTTCCCTGTACTAGCACTAAAAATAGTAGTACTGGTAGTGAGGGTAGCCTGTCAACAAACATAAAGAAGCTCATAATCTCAGGTCTGTCATTACTTGTTTAAGTGGAGTAATCATGTATATTTATCTGGGGCACATCACTAGATAAGATTTTTTTTTAAATTATGCTTCTATCGCCTCTCCCCCAGGCTTGATTGTTGTGACGTGCTTGTGGTCTTAGCAAGAGAAATATCAACACACTACAGCAGCTCAGAACACTGCTCTTAGGCAGATCACACTCACTGAAAGAAGTGACCACAATACCCAAACTGATATTAAAGACTGAAGTCAGCTCATTTGTGTGATTTGTCAACCCCATGTGAGCCTGACTGCTGCTCAAGAGCCTCTTTCACAGTGTTTCATGTGATTCCCAAGTCTCTCCTCATCACTATGGGATACATTCAGGTCCAAGTCTGCGCCTGAGGCCCTTAGGCTTGCAAATTAGTGTCCTCTTTAAAATCCTTCTTCAATACTCACTTTTATCTTTAGCATTCTCCATTTTTTATTGCTATGTACAAGTTTATTCTTTTCTTATTATCATACACTAATGCTTAGCTAAATTTCATTCCAAATATTATTGGCCTTCAGCTATCAAAAATGGCAGGTATCCACCCATGAATGCTATGAACACAAATGTTAATGAAAAGAATTGCCACTTTGCTCATTAGCTAACTTGTACCCCGCAAAACTGTTTTGCCCAGCTTGATTTAATTCAGTCAAGTCGGGGCTGAATCATTTCAATTATTTCAGTTCTATTAATATTCTTTTTCACTGTACTGCATTATTCTGCCACAACTGCTCTTGCAGTATCCCCAAAGATCACTACAGCTTTAACTTCAGACAATACAAACTAGCAATAGCTAGCAGTAGCTAACAGAGAAGCATGTCAGTGACCTGACTTGAAATACTAAAGGTTTGAAAAGTGATTCAACTAAACATACTGTGAAGTGATTTTGTTGGGCATCAACTTTTACATTTGGTTTAATGCTAAGAGTACATTTTAGCTAACGGGCTAACACTGAAACGCCTGTCATATATAGCAATAAAACACAATGATTACACTACAGTGTGCCAGCAAAATGATTACAGCATATACTGAAGTAAATATTTGATCTGTAGGGACTTTAGTGTAAATCGGCAGTTTGTAAACAAAATAGTAAAAAAAGGCTTAACTCAGTCATTTTGTTGGTTATTTTCTACTTTGTATACAGTGATAAAAAAATTACCTTCACCTTTGTTTTATAGTACTTTATAACACTTCTATTAAATTTCTACCAGCTCTAATTAGGTTATATGTTGTGTAGATAATTTTGAGTTGAATATATTTAAAACATAATTACACTTAATGATGGTGCTACTATGTTACCATATGACTACGGAAAAGTATTAGTGACATAAGATGTAAGGTATTTAGGCTGTCCAAAATAAAAGAATGATTAAATGTAGGTTCACTTTTCATCACCTACATCTGAATCATCATACAGTTGGAAGTGTTCACTGTGATTTTCCAAGAGGATGCAGTAAACTGAGAAAAAATAAAAAAATCAACAAGAAATGCCACAAATGGGCCAAGCAATGAGGGAAGCTCATTTTCCGGAGCTCTGCCAAGTGCTGTGTTCACCTGGCAAACACCTACACATGCAGATCTGCCATGGATGCATCTATTTATGTTTACAAGCATGCTGATAATCAGATTTGTCACCACAAATCCTGCATTCAATAATACTTTGTTATTTCCCTCATCAAATAAAGATTATTAAAGTTTTTCTTGGTGACATATTTTTGTCCTGTCATGTGCCAGTACATTCACACCTCAGGACATATTGTACAACCAAAATAAACAGAGAAAGACCTGATATTTTAGGGGTTGTTAAGCACTTGTTTGAGTTGTGTATATGTGGATCTGCAGCAAACATTCTCCTGCTTACCATAGTAGCGGCTAGCCCTCCAGGCCCCGACGGCACAGTGTAGTACTCCCTCCAGCCACACCAGAGCAGCAGCCAGCTAATGCAGAAGCCCAGCAGTAGCCCGAGCATCAAGTCCATCTCCTGCTTGGTCACACTGTCACTCACAAAGTAGTTCTCTGATGAGTCCACCAAGGAATGGTCCCCATCGTATGGGATTACATAGTGGACATGATGCCTGGGGGTGGGGGGTGAGAGACAGGAAGGTGAAGGGAGTGTTGAATATACCACAAACAATGGTACATTTCTTCAACTGTGTGTGCGTACAGATGTCCACAATACAACACACCCATATGAATGCAGAAACACTGATGTTGAATTATAAATAAATTCTGTGTCCCAGTACTAGAGTGCTGTAGTAGTGAGTCCTAAAACCCATAACTGAGTTAGCATTTTGGAATTTCCAGTTCACCTGAAGTCAAAGAGTTTTTTTGAATGGGTTTTATTAATTATTAAACTCACGCACTTCCAAACTATATTAACAAAATGAAACAGCCATGATCACTAGCTTGGTCAGGTCATGCTAAGAGGAAAAGCTTTTGTAGAAGAGGTAAGCTTGCTAAATGAAATTACAGATTGGAAGCAGTGGTGGGGAACCGTGGTGTAGTTTATTTCTAGCCTAACAATAGCTTTTTACTTCTACCGATTGTATTTAGGCTTCAAAAATCATAAAAGCGCTGTCGACTCGTGAAGATTATCTTGCTGAACAACATGTGCAAATGTTATAAACCACTGTTTGTCACCGAGCTTTTTTTCTGCAATCATCCAAAACCCATTGGGAAAATCCCATTGGCTCTTTGTCGAAGGAACCAGGGCGATGCTAACGTCCATGCTGGCCTACAGAAATATATTATCCCTACAGCACTCTATAATCCTTAAACCAACGTACAACTGTATAAATCAACAATAGCTTGAGACCATATATGTGATTGCTATTAACCTGGTGGTCACATCACACAGGAGGAAAAAAAAGAGGGTCTGGGGAAATGTTACAGTGACAGAATGCAAATTTAAAGACAACTGATATTTTTAGTTGATTACTGAATACAGTACACAAATCTGATGCATTACAGCTAAGGGATGACACAGATGGTTACACAACATATAGCTCTGTACATCAACTGCTGCTGCAGCTACTGATCAACAACTACAGTGGGTACGGAAAGTATTCAGACCCCCTTAAATTTTTCCACTCTTTGTTATATTGCAGCCATATGCTAAAATCATTTAAGTTCATTTTTTTTTCCTCATTAATGTACACACAGCACCCCATATTGACAGAAAAACACAGAATTTTTGACATTTTTGCAGATTTATTAAAAAAGAAAAACTGAAATATCACATGGTCATAAGTATTCAGACCCTCTGCTGTGACACTCATATATTTAACTTAGGTGCTGTCCATTTCTTCTGATCATCCCTGAGATGGTTCTACACCTTCATTTGAGTCCAGCTGTGTTTGATTATACTGATTGGACGTGATTAGGAAAGCCACACACCTGTCTATATAAGACCCTACAGCTCACACTGCATGTCAGAGCAAATGAGAATCATGAGGTCAAAGGAACTGCCTGAAGAGCTCAGAGACACAATTGTGGCAAGGCACAGATCTGGCCAAGGTTACAAAAAAAAAAAGAATTTCTGCTGCACTTAAGGTTCCTAAGAGCACAGTCGCCTCCATAATCCTTAAATGGAAGACGTTTGGGACGACCACAACCCTTCCTAGAGCTGGCCGTCCGGCCAAACTGAACTATCGGGAGAGAAGAGCCTTGGTGAGAGAGGTACAGAAGAACCCAAAGATGACTGTGGCTGAACTCCAGAGATGCAGTCGGGAGATGGGAGAAAGTTGTAGAAAGTCAACCATCACTGCAGCCCCCC